TATGTTTCTATATTTGTATTTATTTATTAATACACAATATTGACTTCTATTGGCACACCTGCATCAACACCATACCATAACTGTGTGTACATATACATATACTAATTAACTAACATGTGTCCGTATCTCCATCACAGCTGCCTTTGTGGCCAATACCAATGCTCTGGTAGATGCGGGTCAGTTGATGGTAGAAGATGCGGAGGCGACCAACGACGATGCAACCGGTGCTGTGCTGTGTGTGGGACCGCAGTATGCAACAGGGTGTGTAGTCATGTGGATGCACAGATGTATATGTATGTATGCTAAGATATGTACGTACTAGATGCGTATATTATTATGGATATATATATATATATATATATAAATATATGTTTGTGTGTGTGTGTATGTGTGTACGTGTGTTTTTGTGTGTGTGTGTGTATGTATGTATGTATGTATGTATGTATGTATGTATGTATATACAGTTTGTTTGTTTGTTTGTTTGCGAATAGTTTATCCTTGCAATCCAAGAAATCCAAGATTTAGCTCAGCACCATTGCCTGTATATGTGCTCATAGGCCTACTATAGTATAGGAATCGTGCCATAGTCAGCCTATTCTCCGCTAAAAGAAACCGCGCACATATACATATGTAATGTATACATGCGATCTCCAGTAGGATAAGCATATGACACATATAGAGTGGTCTTGCGCATGATTTCTGTGTTAGTACTCTTGGGCTTCTGTGTATATCTACATATGTACCCACATGTCCTTACAAGCTACACACCATTTTACCATATTTCAACACGCGCATATATATATATATATATATATATCCTCATCCTCATCCCATTGCCATATCCATCTCATCTCCATCTCCAACGGCTTATCAGCGAGCATCAAAACGAGCTGTGGGGTGATGCCTACACGTACTTGCTGGACACCAACACAACTGTGGTGGAAATACAAGCCAATTTGTATACCGAACTGCTGCAGTTGCCTAACCTTACGCACGCGAGTGTACTTCGTGATAATGAGATGCTGCGACAGTACTGGCTGCCAGCAAATACCTACAGCGTCATATGCAGCGACGGCATCTACACCATCACCAAGGCCAGGTGGGTGGGTTTGTGTGTGCGTGTGCGTGGGTATATGTGTGTTTGGGTGCATGGTGTAGGGTTTAAAGTCTGTAGGGTTCCTAGGGTTTGGATGCTGTGTTCGTGTTTATGGCTTGTTAGGTTTAAGGTCTGTAGGGTTCCTAGGGTTTTGGATGCTGTGTTCGTGTTTATGACTTGTTAGGTGTGTGTATGTGTACCAGTACAGGGCTGTCTATTGGTGCGTCTTTGAAAGCGTATGTGTATCTGTGTAGCCGAGAGTTACAGGTAGTGTGAGTGTATCTGTACCTCTGGTGTGTCTAGGTAGTGTGTGTGCGTGTATTCACATAGGGAAATAGTAGTAGCGAAGCGTGTATGTGTTTATATATAAATATAATGTATGTTTGTATGTATGTATATATTTGCTATATTTATGTGCACCAATTCATACTGCAACTGCACAGACCCATCGACCAACTTAAGAAGATTATGTTGGACGAAACTCTGGCAGAGAAATATACCGCACAGTCACATCACGATGCTGCAATGCTGATTGCGTTGATATGTGAAGCCGATCTTGACACGGCTGTTGTTCAGGTGTGTAAAAGTCATATGTATATATATATATATATATATAGGATAGTTCCGTCTCTATACCCTTCCCGCGTACCTCCTGCTAGTTATTTATTGCATAACATATAATTTCGCTCTCATTACCATCCCCTTTTGTAGTGTAGCATATGTGGTGTGTTGATACCGTCCATACCTACCACCCCTCTGTACAGTGTATGCTCAAGGCATTCTTCTCAGCCACTGAACCGCCACTGACGGATGCTCTCTCTATATACCGAACTGTCCCTCCCCCGAGCACGTACAACAACTACCCCAATACTACCTTTAATAATCCTACCTACGGTAGCTCTATCAACACAACACCTGTGCACATTGATGGCTTGGCGCTGTATGTCAAACGGCTGCTAACTCCCATTCAGGTATGTTTTGGTAAAGGGTGTGTGCTTGTTGTGTCCAGCATTTTCAACGGTAGGTAGGCGTCTTCCTGCTTATTATGAACACAGTATAAATCAGTATGTGACTGTATATATGTAGTAAACGAGCCGATGAATGTTCGTTGTAGTTGCATAGCCCATACTAATGCCGTTGTATGCTCTGTTGCTTATGTTGAACGGCTGCTGACATTTATTAAAGAACATATCATATCAAACGTCATTCGTTTGAAATATATAAGAGGCACACGCACACACATGCCATGTACACATCAACCCGAACACTGTACTCGGGTCACGCATTGTATGCAATACGTGTGTGTATTATTTTGTAAATATGATACTCTATATGTACATACAATATCTTACTTATGATTTGTACGCACGAAAGTCGATCATATTCAGTAGCTGATTCCATCGCTAGGTGGTCATCTTAGTCAACACTTTTGCACGCTCATACACATGCTGTATATGTACCTACACGCACGTATGTTTGTGCCCACACTAGCACAGCCATTATATATATATATATATATATATGTACA